TTGTTTTTAATTGCTGTTGAGTTGTCTTCAACTTGTGGTGACCTTATATATAACGGAACAAAATGTTGCCGGTCCTGCACCATTTTCATGATTGTTGGTATGCTTGAGCCTATATATAGATAGATAGATATAGATAGACAGATACAGATATATATACATATATATCTATATCTCTCTATATACACATATATATGTATGTATATATAGAATCCTATGGTTGTTTTTCTGAAGAACCCTGACATACACTGCCAAATTGTGTGACTTTTCCTAGTAGATATGCTCTATTTCTTTCATAGCTCTTTCACCTTCCAATATACTTTATAATTTGTTTATTTGGTTTATTTTTTATTTGCTAAATGAATGAATGAACAGCCTTCTCCACGATGAGATTATAAAAGCATCTACCCATTTTCTTCTAGTACTTTAGTGGTTTTACTTTTTACATTTAAATCTTTAAGCCGGAATTTATTTTGGAGTAAAAAATGTGGTATGTATCCCAATTTTTTTCCCCTTCAGATCACTCTCCAGTTATTTCAACCTAATGTACTGAAAAATCCATCATCCTTCTCCCCCATTTGAAATGTTTCTTAACACAAATCATTTAATTGAGTATTAAGTCTGGTTAAAACTCATCATCTTCAAAAGTCATTGTGGAAAAAGATACAGTAGAATTGTATCTTCATTCAGAGATAGATACCTGAGCCATATATTGTTTACAAAGTATCTACTCCTTGTTTGTTGTAGCTAAGTAGGATATCTTCTGGACCATGGCTACATAAAGTGGTTTGGAAAGTTTCCCAATCTTTAATCAAGTAAAATTCTTCCCTCCCTACTTCTTTCCTGCTTCACACCAGATAACAGGCTTTTTTAGAACATGAGGCAGGATTATCTTTCTGTCGTTTGGACAGCACGCAGAACTAGATGCAGAGCGACCTTACATATGCCCTTCATGTCAAAATGGTAAAAGTTAAAAAGCCTGCATGCCTGACAAGACAGCTTCAGTTTACTCATCTCAGAGTGACCCCTGGCTTGATGACTGAAGGTTATTTCTTAATCACATAACTGGTTGAGGCTTTGAAAACTATGGTTTTTTGTTAAGCATGTGAGTCCCTTACAGGTAAACTGGGATTTAAGACAAGGCCATCAGTGTTCATTAAATGTTTACTATGAGCCCAGTTCATATTAAATGCTGTGGAGGATAAGAAGAGCTGACAAGTCAATTCAGCCAATATTTCTTTAGCAGTGATTATATTCTAGACACTGTGTTAGGCGCTGTGGCAGGGTACAAAGATGTAAGTCCCTGCCCCCAGGAGCTCCCTGTTCTATACAAACAAATGGGATGATATAAAAACAAAACAAAACAAAACAAAAGTTGCCATCGAATCTATTCTGACTCATAGTGACCCTACAGGATGGAGTAGAACTGCCCCATAGGGTTTGCATTTAATTCTGAAGTGGAGGGGGGACAGGGACTGGAACCATTTGAGCTGAGCCTTGACGAATAAGGAGTGTGATACACAAAAAGGGGCAAAAAGGCCTTCTGGCTGGTGTTTATGTTTTTCTTGTGGTGATGGTGGTCTTTTTAGCAAAGGAGTGACATGCATCTGACTATGTTTTAGAAAGATAAACTCTGACAGTTATGGAGAGGAATGTTCTAGTCCTGACTCTGAAGCTTTCTAGCTGTGTGACCCTTGGGTAAACTACTTAACTCCTCTGTCTAAGTTTTCATTGTAAAATGGGGACAACACTTCTTAACTCAGAGGGTTGGTGTGAAGATTAAATGAATTAATTATTGCCCCTAACTCTCCCCCTCATGCTTGCTACACTCCAACACCTGGCTCCCTCCCCCCATACATCCTTCAGATGTAAACTTAAATGTCAGTTTTTCTTTCCGCGAAGCCTGCTGTGGCAATTTCCCTGGGCTATACATAAGTCATTATCTTTCATTTCCTGTAGCACTGGTAAGCTTTGGTCCACTTGTAAATAACATCTTCAATGTCCATCTTCCAAGCTTTCACAGCCATAAAGGCAGAATCTCTGTTTATGTCAGTCACAAATATACACTTAGTGCCAAGGATACCTAGTGGCCAAATAATATTGCTTGACTCAATCTATCAGCCAATCATTGAGATGGCATATGGAGAGAAACAACGGGCCAAGGGAAAAGTTATATTAAAAAGAAAATATAACTACAGTTAATTGATAATCCAAAGTTGTAAATAGAAAGGAAGAGGTTGAAAATGAAGCGAAGGGAAAAATGTAAAGACCCTTGAGGAGAGATGGGATCCAGAAATTAGCTTTGGGTTTTGTGAGAGTCGCTATTGGCCAGAGGCCCTCACATTCTCATGCCTACATTCCTCTCTCCTGGATTACATTAGCAATGCTCTCCTAATTTGTCCCTGCTTCCTGTCCCTCTACCCATCCAGTCCAATCTCCAGGCTTCCTGGCTGCCGCCAGAGCGATTGCTTTAAAATGCAAATCTGATTACCTTGCTTCCACCTCTGAAAAAAGGCTCCCCTCCCCCCATTGCCCTCCCGATTTAGTGTTTAGGCCTCCTGCCTTGTTCTGCAGCCTCTTTCTCTGTCATTCTCTGCCCACCCCCCCAAAACTCTATGCTACAGCCATGCTGACCGTCTCATATAATTCCCTCAACTAGCCATTCTTCCCCCTGACTCTGGTCCTAGGAAGCACTGTCCCCCCTGGCTAGAGCACTCTACTCTCCCCTCTCCTACTTTCCTGGGAACTAATTGCAAAGGTCAGAGTGTCCACAGAGATGTCTACAGGAATGCACATTTCCTTTCTGATATCCAGGGGAACAGGGACATGTATTGTGGAACCTACTCTGTGCTGCCCTAGACTGAGGGAGGCCTGGCTTAGACTTCAAGCCTAGGGAGGGTCCGATAGTCTTTCTGTCTGGACCTGAGATCCAGAAAGACAGCGCTACCTCCTCAGGGTCAGAGATTTCTCCTGGCTCCCCCTGGGAGTATGGGCCCTGCTTGCTGAGCCTGGCATTGAAGTCATTTTGTCAACCTGGCCAACTCTCAACTATCAGAGCCAATCAATTTATATAACGGTCTGCAGGCAGATGGACATGGCTTTTACTTTGTTATGATTTGGCTGGGAAACAAAGAAAAATGAATATTCTTGTCCTACTGAGCATTAATCCTCCCATTAATGTTAATAATTGAGAGCCAGTTCCGAAGCTCCTTGAGGTCTTTTACCCATGACCTGAACACTATTTATCTGCCTGGCATAGACCATAATTCACCATGGACAGGTAATTGTAACTATGAAGAAGAAAAATAATAATTGTCCATAAATTCCACCTCCCAGTTATTTTGTCTCCATAGGCATTTATAGTTCATATTGCATCATCTTGGGCTTTCTTTTCTTTTTTCTTTTCTGCCTGTACTCTGTGGTTCATTCATTCTGATGGCTTTTATTACCATCTCTAAAGCAACAATTCAGCCCAGGTCTCCCCTCTGAGCACATTTTTCTGCTCCCACCCCCCAGACTTCCTCCTCTGCAATCTTTCTATTTAATGCAAATGGTGTCACCAGATACTTGGGAGTCATCTATAGTGACTTCTGTCACCTCAATTCCACCTTCCTCCTTCCCCCATCTGACTTCAGCAAATTTTGTCCATTCTACTTGCCATATAAATGTAGCAATTGTTCCCTCCTCTCATGTCTACTGCCTAATTCAAGTCATCCTAATTCAAGCCAATGTCTTGTCTTCTCTCTTCTGGTCTGCTCCCACAGCCCCATTGGTGTCCCTGCTTCCACACTTAACTCCATAACATAACCCATAAACCATTGCTGCCAAGTCGATTGCAACTCATAGCGACCCTATGGGACAGAGTGGAACTGCCCCATAGGGTTTCCAAGGAGCATCTGGTGGATTCGAACTGCGCCACACTTGGCCCCTGACAATCTTCCAGTGGTCTCCAAGGTCCTGCCTACCTTGGTTCTCTCATTTTTTGTCCCTAAATTCCTGTCCCTTGATAGATGGCAAGCTCTTTGCCTCCACTTTGTGCTTTGTGCTCTCTTTTCCCTGAAAATCTTTTCCCAGCTCTTCCCATGGCTGGTTCCTTTTTTCCCCTCAGGTTTGATCTCCAGTCACTTCTTCAGATAGATCTTCCCGGACCTCTTAATCAAATTTGGTCTCCCTAACATTGTCCATCAAAGCACCTAGTTTACGTTCTCCCCAGCACTAATTACAGCCTGAAATTACTGTGTTTACTTGTTAATTGTGATATTTTGTGGCACAGCGAATTTTGTTTGGATGTATGATATTTGCGACACACTTATACAAAAATTATTTGTTGTTTCTTTGAAATTCAAACTTTATTGAGCGTCCTGTGTTTTTGTTAGCTAAATCTGGACAACCTTATCCACGAGGCGCCTTGTCCTGGTCCGGTTTTTTCTGGATTGTATCCTCACCGCCTCGCCCAGAGCCTGCCTTTTAGGTGTTCCGTAATTGTTATACATGAATGAAGTATCCGTATGCTGTTTTGTACGATTTTTTTTCCCCCCTCACCTGGCGTTTATGAGAATTTCCTCCATTTATTAAAAATTCTAGTTTAAAGTTAATTTTGGAAATGTATTTTATGACCTAACTTCGTTTTCCACTCCTGCAAAATTGGGAGAGGAGGTGTATCTTGCCCTCATCACATTGTTGTGAGAATTAAGAGTTAACGCCGTGTCTGGCTCACTAGAACGCTCAATACAAGTCAGTTGTTTATTAATGAGGCCTCTATACCCTCTTAGCGGAAAGCAAAAGCGCGCGCTATGCAGCCGGGTGGGGGAAGGGAAAACGGTTAGAAAAGGGCGCCCGCCGGAACGCAGAGGGCCTGGGGAAAGGGGAGGAGCGAGGAGTGAGTGACAAAGGATTCGGCCAATGGGGAGGCTGGGAACCGCTCCCCTCCCTTTGCGTTTCAAATTCTGAGCTCGGTTTCCATCCGGGTCCTTCAGCCTCGTTCCCGGGCACTATAAAGTTTGCTGTCTCCTTTGTTCGCCCTCGTTGCGCAGTAGTGCTTGCAGCTTCCCGTTCCGTCCTCGACCCGGTAATCGCCCTCGTGCTGAGTCGCTACAAAGCGCCTGTCGGCGAGCTGGTAGGAGCCTGAAACGGTCGTCACCTCTGTAGTATGTACATCCTTTTTCTAGTCCGTCGTTCATATCCAAGTGTCACTTTAGAACGTGGGATTATCTCCCTGGAGATGGGGCCGGCGGGCGCCATTTTAGAACCCAGAGGCGCCAAGCTATTTCATAGAACCGAGAGGGTCGAAAGAAAACAAACTAGGGGGTCCGTCTCCTTGTATGCCTCGAGCACTTTTGGAATGCTGCCTGCGGTAATGGTGGCGGAGGTTGGGGCTTGGAGGCTGGAGCGGGACGAGGAGAGCCCGCGCCACCGCCGTCCCTGCGTTGGGATGGCGCTGGCGCTAAGGATGGGCATGAGGACTTTGTGCCGGGTCCTTGTTCGTGGGCGGCCTCGGAGCGGAAGCTCTTTACATTTTTCCAGTTTTCTCCGGGTGGTAAAAGTTCCTCGTCTCATCGATGCCGATTGTTCTGGGCGGGATCCAAGTGTCGCCATTTTGTCTTCTCCACGCGGTTTTTAATGACGGGTTTTAATTAGGTTCTGCCGCAGTCGTGCAGTGTAGAATGTGCGCTTCCACGTCCCGTTATTTAATATGAAACCGTGTTGCCGCTTAGTTTCTTTTTAGTCAGGTATTTTTAGTAATCTTTTTGGCGGGGCGCGGAAACTGATGAGGGGGGAGGCAGCACTTGGCTCAAACTTTAGTTCTCTACTTAGATGTACTAGGGAACCCTAAAGAGGCCTTGGAAGAAGGCTTGATGTTAAGGTCCTGCGTCTGCCCTGTGACCTTGAATGAGTCGCTAGACTTTAAAAACCCCATCATTAGGGTAACTGGGGTGTGGTAAGTAATCGAGTCTTAAGGCAACGAAAATCTAGGTTTCAAAGTAAAGCTTGATTTTTTTTTCTCCCCCCTCCAAGAATTGAATTGCTGTTAATTGATTTAAAACAGCCAAGGGAGATTAAAGATAATTGCAAAACTTTAAGTTGACCCTGTTAACCAGGTTAAGGTAAATTACATTATTACTAAGCTAACTTAATTTTAGTTGCTTTTCTGGGTTGGCTTGGCCTTCGAAAACATTGCTATCTGGTAACTTTGGTAATTTAGAGGTAATGGTTTTGGTGAAACAAATAAAAAATGCACCACTGTACACACTTCTGATAAACTTCTCCAGAAAGGTTAATCCTATCTTTTTTTCAACAGATACTCACCCCACGGGGAAAAATGGTTGAAGCCGATCGTCCGGGAAAGCTCTTCATTGGCGGGCTCAATACAGAAACAAATGAGAAAGCCCTTGAGGCAGTATTTGGCAAATATGGACGAATTGTGGAAGGTAAATTGTCTGAAAGTATATGCTGGGCTATTGTGATAAAGTGAGCCATGATGAATTTGATTGCATTGATCAACTGAAATGATAATGTATCTTGTCCTCTAAGAAGTTCTGAGCTTCCTTGTTACAGAGTGTGTTTTGTTATTTCATTTGAACTAGAGTTAACACTGTTTCCTCCTGCCCCCGAACTATTTTTTAGTGCTCTTGATGAAAGACCGTGAAACCAACAAATCAAGAGGATTTGCTTTTGTCACCTTTGAAAGCCCGGCAGATGCTAAAGATGCAGCCAGAGATATGAATGGAAAGGTGATAATACTGCATAATGATACCATATTTCCTAGTGTGTAAAATAGCCTACAGTATATTCTTAGTTAGCAGTTTGGTCCAGAGCAGCTCTTGAATTGATAAGTTTTTGAGTGTATATATTTCTAGAGCCCTCCTACCAAAGCCCTTTGTAGCAATAAGCTGAAGAGTATTCTGTGATTTTGGAGCAAAACTTCGTAGCCGAAGTTATGGATTATTTTAACAAGAGTTTCTCAGTATAGACTGTTAGGTGGCAATAGTTTATCTTGGGATCCATAAACTGATTTGATAATGTTTCCGGTTATTTTGATAAGTTGATCCCTGCCTGGCTTTGTTTTAAATTTTACCTAACAGTAGTTCAGTGGAGTCACCTTGTGTTCCGGTTTAAAGCATCAGGACTCCCTTTTAGAGAAAGATTGTAGTCAGTATCAGTTTGAAAGACAGTAAGCATTTAAGGTAAATGGAAAAGTTTTTACCTGAGTAACAGTACACTTTAAACTTTTTTCCTAGACTGAATGAAGTTTACCTTTTGGGTAGAGTATTTTGTAACTGTATCTTGAAGAACAATTTGGTGTCAGTGCATGATGGATCTGCAAGTTCTTTTTCATTTTGATACAATTAACGATTCTGATGTTTTTATTTTTTTAGTCCCTAGATGGAAAAGCCATCAAAGTGGAACAAGCCACTAAACCAACATTTGAAAGTGGTAGACGTGGACCCCCTCCACCTCCAAGAAGCAGAGGCCCTCCGAGAGGTCTTAGAGGTGGAAGAGGAGGAAGTGGAGGAACCAGGGGACCACCTTCCCGTGGGGGTCACATGGGTAATGACTTGGGTGGACCCCGGGTTTGGTGTATAGGTTAGGGAACTGCAAAACGTATGCTTAGGTCAACAGTTTATCTACCATAAGTTAAAGTGTTCAAGAATGGGGACAATATTGTGTATCCAAGTAGTTCATTTTGTAGGAAAAGGTTAAAGAAAATTTCCTTTCAGTAGGCAAAGGTGATGGGCCTATAAAAATGGACCAATTTGTATTTTTCATCCAAGTAATTTTTAAGACTAACTGCAGTTTTGTTACTAGTCTTTATGACTTCATACTTAATCATGTACAAGTGAAAATTAAAGCTGGACTCCCCAACTGAACAAATTATGGCCATAATTCTTTCCATAAGAAAGAGAACTTTTATAGCTTTTTGGTTCTTTTGAGTTTTAACATACTTGTCCTTTCTCTTCTAATACAGATGATGGTGGCTATTCCATGAATTTTAACATGAGTTCTTCCAGAGGACCACTTCCAGTTAAGAGAGGACCACCACCACGAAGTGGAGGTCCTCCTCCTAAACGATCTGCCCCTTCAGGACCAGTTCGCAGCAGCAGTGGAATGGGAGGAAGAGGTAAAGTTCCATTTATAACAATTTGTCCTACCAGTATAGTACAAGAAATAATTGAGGCAAATCCTAAAAATGATGTTTAGAACTAATTCATGGACTTGGCAATTCACGAACCTTGAAAAGAATTTAGGTACAGGTTGGAAATAAACATTTTAGAGAAGAAAATTTTTTGCTCTAGCCCCATGTTGAATCAACACATAGCCTGAACGTAAAATTCTTTTTTTAAAAGTTTTTTTAATTGTACTTTCAGGTGAAGGCTTACAGAACAAATAGTTTTTCATGAAACAGTAGTACACATTGTTTTATGACATTGGTTAACAACCCCACAGCATGTCAACCCTCTAACTTCTCAACCTTTTTTTTTTTTGGTGAAAATACACATAGCCAAAGATACACCATTTCAAAAATTTCTACATGCACAGAGCCTGAACGTAAATTCTGATTTTAATTTTTCTCTTTGAGTATATTTTTAAGATGATTTCTTTTCTTTAAGCTCCTGTGTCACGTGGAAGAGATAGTTATGGAGGCCCACCACGAAGGGAACCCCTGCCCTCTCGTAGAGATGTTTATTTGTCCCCAAGAGATGATGGATATTCTACTAAAGACAGGTAAAAGAAAAGTTTAGTTGTTTTCTTCTCATTGGTAATTAAGGTTGAAGGGGAGCTCATGAAACCATGAATCAAATTACTTTTGTTTCTGTAGCTATTCCAGCAGAGATTACCCAAGTTCTCGTGATACAAGAGATTATGCGCCACCACCAAGAGATTATACATACCGTGATTATGGTCATTCCAGTTCACGTGATGACTATCCATCCAGAGGCTATAGGTAAGTCCTTGTGCTTCCACAGCTTGATTTGTCAGTATTGCTGTAAAACCTGATGCTCTGGGACTTAAGAGACTTTTTCTTTTTTAGTGATAGAGATGGCTATGGTCGTGACCGTGACTATTCAGATCATCCAAGTGGAGGTTCCTACAGAGACTCCTATGAGAGTTATGGTAAGATACTGGTTGAGGGTCTTGGAACATCACCAGCTTGACTTTAGGGTCATGAGCCAGTTATTAGGCTGTGTGGTGCTTGCTATAAAAGGGACGTTTGCTTGCTTTCTAGAGGGTAAATTTATCAGCTGGGCTTTTCCTAGTTTTGTGAGGGGCTTTTGTTCTTTTCTAAGTTTTTTTTTTGAGGCTGTTTGCTTGCTTTGGAGGGGATTTTGCTTGCTTAAATTGGCAGCCTTATGTGTTTTCCCCCAACAGTGAAAATACAATTTAAAAATTTTATTAACAAGATCAGATGTTTACCATTGCAATATGAAGGAAAGTCTACAGTTCAAAATTGCAACTTATCACTGGAAAGTGGCTGAGTTTCTACTCTAAAATAACAAGCTGTCTGGAATATCCTCTTGAAATACACACCGTCTTCAGTCTTTTCAAACAAACATTAAAATCAATCCATTTCCGTATCTCAGCAGAGGAGCAAATCCCTGTTTTGGCCAGCAATGGCAGAGTTTAAAACTTCCCAGTTGAGAAAGTAAACGTTTAATACAAGAATTCTGTAAATTCAGATTTAAATGTTGTATATATACAATTTATAGTGTTGCCATATTACCTGACCATTGACCCTGCAGGTAACTCACGTAGTGCTCCACCTACACGAGGGCCCCCGCCATCTTATGGTGGAAGCAGTCGCTATGATGATTACAGCAGCTCACGTGACGGATATGGTGGAAGTCGAGACAGTTACTCAAGCAGCCGAAGTGATCTCTACTCAAGTGGCCGTGATCGGGTTGGCAGACAAGAAAGAGGGCTTCCCCCTTCTATGGAAAGGGGGTACCCTCCTCCACGTGATTCCTACAGCAGTTCAAGCCGCGGAGCACCAAGAGGTGGTGGCCGTGGAGGAAGCCGATCTGATAGAGGGGGAGGCAGAAGCAGATACTAAAAACAAACAAAACTTTGGACCAAAATCCCTGTTCAAAGAAACAAAACAAAAAGTGGAAACCTGTTCTGTCATAACTACCCAAGGACTACTAAAAGGAAAAATTGTGTTACTTTTAAAAATTTTCCTGTTAAGTTCTCCTCCTTAATTTTTATGTTCTGGTGAGGAAAAAAGTAAAACATGTTTAATTTTATTTGATTTTTATGACATTGCTTTCAACAAGCAAATGTTAAATGTGTAAGACTTGACTTGTGTACTAGTGTTGTTATTCTCTTAAGTGTCCCTAAAGGCCACTTCCTATGATTCTTCCCAATAAATAAGGCAAGCAATACTAAGATCTTCCACAAACATCTAGCCATCTAAAATGGAGAGATGACTCATTCTGCCTACACAAACAAGCTAGATATTAGAAGGGTGGTTGGGTTTGCTACTCTTAGGTTTCAGGGTACCTTCAAACTGAAATCTCAGTGTTCTCAATGCGAAACACCTGAGATAGAGGCTTACATAAGGAAAGTGCTATTCACCCAGTAAACCCAAAAAGCAGTGGATAATGCTGGCCGTATTTTGCCTTTCTGACATTTCCTTGGGAATCTGCAAGAACCTCCCCTTTCCCCCTCCCCCAATAAGACCATTTAAGTGTGTGTTAAACAACTACAGAATACTAAATAAAAAGTTTGGCCAAAACCAACCATGAAGCTGCAAACGATGCTTGCTCTTACTGTTTCAAATTTTTGCAACTCTGTAGTGTCTCACTTTTAAAGGAACAGCTTGATTGCAAAGGAGAAAATAGATAAGCAATGAAGTTATCTCCAACTTCTCAAAGGCTTATGACTTCTAAAAAGTGAATCTATCAGCATTCCACATCAGATTTAAAGCATCAAATGCCTGTGAAACAGCAAAGATGGTAAGCAAAGCAAACTAGTTTTTCCGTCTAAGTCGAAATTGAACACAATTACCTTCCTCATAGTACAGTGAAACATACTGTACGTCATGGCAATGGAAATGCTTTCTAGATTAAAAAAACTTGGAAAAACAGATGTTCAATAGCATATTAGAAGTCCTCCAAATTCAACACTTGGATTTTTTTTAAGCATGTATGACAAAGGCCTTAATACAGCTGTTGTTTATCAATAGCGATCTGGGGTTGGGAGGGGGTGCTTGTTTTTTTTTTTTTAAAAGACTTTGATGGAAGACCTTTAAACATGCTTCATATATTTGAACATTTTTCAAATTTAGTCTTTTAGTCAATAACAGGAAATGGCTTAACTTTGGGGTCCCCCTCTCTACTCTTGTAAGCCATTGCAAACTTGACATTTAGTTGGATGCCTGACTTGTTTTTAGTTCTATGAAACTACACTGTATGGAGAAAATCTATTGCAAGTGGTCTTTAAAACAAAACCTGAGGCAACATGACCCAGGTCCAGCCATGAAGTTGAAAAAGATGCTCTTGAATATAGTAAACTTGAAGACCTCCAACTAAAAATCCTTATACTGCACTTATTCCTTCAAATAAGTTTTGTCCGTTCAACTTATGGATTTAACATGGCAGTGCACCATTGGAACAGAATGACAATCCATAAGCCATGCAACTTAACCATTTAAGCCATTCCAGTCCATCCCAAGCCAGTGAATCTTCCACCACTTAAGAGAAGTAGTAGAACATGAAATACATAAAACTGCAAGTCTGAACTTGCCTTTTCTTCTGGAAAAGAGGGCAGTTATAGGCAAGTTATGAAGAATTTCCTTAAGAGAGATAACTGGTTATCTGTTTTTACAGGTTGAGGATTATGGTCATTATGGTCATGGGAGTGCTGATTTATTCACTAGATAAAGCCGGCGGCAAGAGAAATCAAATGCTAAGGTAAGTTGATGGCAGTGGCCTTCACCAGTTCCATTATTGTAGCTTTGCCACCGTGGCAAGTTATTTCTGATGCTCACTTAATCTGTAAGAGGGAGGATATTACCTAACTCATGGATTATGAGCAGGGGTGGACTAGCCAGTAAGCAAGGTACGCATGGGCTTCTGTTTACTAATCTCTAGTGCACAATTTCACATAGGTTTCACCACATCTTTGACATGGTATAAAACAGATGAAATTGTGCTTTACAGATTAGCAAGCACAAGTAAGCCTGGGAGTGTACCTTGCTTATTGGGTAATCCGTCCCTGATTATGAAGATGAAATTACGAGGAAGTGATGTAATATGTATCACCTATCATGTATACCTAGTATCATAATCACATTTCTGTTAGTGGCTCAAAAGTGCTATTAAAAATATGAAGCTTCCTAATATCCGTTTGTATGTAATTGATCCCTTCACAGGGGCTATACACTTAGCATTTTTGGTATGTGAGCAAGCTTGCACTCCCATGCATTGTGTAAAAGGACATTTTCATTATTACCAGTACCTGTTCCTGTGCACTGCTACCACGTTCCCAGTTTGAGTAACTTAATTTTGTTCGCGTAATGACACATAGTGTATACTACTACCAACTTGGTGCTTATAGGAACTGTAATGGGCATTTATGGTGCTTTTTAGAGTTTGCACTTGAAAGCAAATATTTTGTTTCCAAATAGCAGTTATGTATATTAGGTAAGAGTGGGGAGTAATATTCAGTATGCACCAGTGACTATCTTGTGATCTGACCCCATGCTCTTCATTTTTCAGAGTTGTGGAAGCAGAAGAATGCTGACGGTCAATAATTACACCAGTTGCGTTAGCAGTCCTCATCAGTTGGTTTGGTGCAGGCAGTAGATTTTGTCTTCAAGGGTTCCCAAGGATCTGAGGGAAGGCAGTCCGTGTTGGTTAGTAGCACCCTTAACTAGGGGAGTGATAATTACTTAAAGTAAGTAATTGACCAAATGGAGAAAGGGAAATGATTAAGGAAATTGGTAAGTGGAGGTGGTCAGGAAGTTCTTGACAGATTTTTACAGCTCTGGCTTTCATTTTGTTTAAAGCCATAGGGACACCCTGCAATTTAGAACTTCTTAATTATCACTGAGAATAATCACAAAGTGGACTTAGAAGAATGAAAAGCATAAGCAATAGCTATCCAGTACAGTGTCAGTAAGTGAAATGAAACATTTTTTGTTAGTGTATCCAGAAGCAGGGTTTAGTTGTCAGACAAAAACTTGTAGGGAAGAGTAATGTCTGGAAGCTAAAGTAACAACTAGAAACATTGCTTAAAATTATCAGGCACACTTAAAACTCGTAACAGCTACTATTCAGGCCACTTGGCACTGTGTTGTTTCTGTAAACCTACTTCACCCCCCCACCTTTTATCTTGGAAACAAACCCAGGTACCTTACTGCTTTTGAGACTAGAGCCAATAGTATAAAAGCTAATGTCAAAAAGATTTTGGTCATCTAAAATACAATAAAAAAATTAAAAAAAAAAAAAAAAAGATTTGGGTTGAGTTAGAGAAACCAGCTCAATTTGTGCTAATTTTTGTGTAGGAGTTACAGCAGTACTATCATGTTTAACATTTGCAGTTGAGGAAAATAATCCAAAAATTTTAACCCTCATTTGACACGTTTCTAATTAACCACAAACTGAGGGTATTAACCATTAGCCTTTTCCATAATCTAATTGCTTGGGTCGGTAAGTCTGAGGACCTTATTTAGATATCTTGAAGATAGTGTAGAACATATAGATGGATCGCAGTAAATATCATGAATACTGCATTCATACTGAGTATGCTTAAATGACCAAACAGCTGTTTGACGAGTTTACTGATCTAGCAGACTTCACTCGGCTCCCATTGGTCAGAGTGGGTCGTGAGTCTTCCAACATAATACTGGTTGTAAAAGAAATGGAATGTTTAATATTCAAACATAACAAGAACTTAGGTATTAATAAGTCAACTTTTCTCCTTTTGGAATGTTTTGTATTTGAAACAATAAAACTTAATATGCATTTTTTGTGGAAATGTCTTTTTTCTACAAAATTAGGAATTAGCCTTTTAAATGAGTTTTCCACATGACTTTACCCTCCCCACCCCCCCAAAAAAACCCTACAATTCTGATGCCCTGCTTCCTTAATCAGGGGACGTCCAGAGTCACTGAAGTGGCCTTTTCAGTTTTCTCCTAAAAATTCAGTGGGAGCGGTTAACACCAAGGAAATAAGGCAAAAATACCAAGGATCTGTGTAGTGCTTTTACTCTTATTTTCTGTTTACCTCTTGGGAACAGGTCAGTAACCCCTCAGTTTTGGCAGTGAGTCCCAGATGCTTTGCACAAATTCCTTCAGTGATGCTGTTGAAACCAACAGCATGTGTATTTCTGTCCTTGAATTTTTTTCTGTGCACGTCTGACATTCATTTGCTAGCAGATGAATTGAAATCACATGGGAAAGGAATGTAGCTGAGCATTAGGATGGTATCCCGTATGCTGTTTCCAACACTAATTGTTCCAGAGAAACATCCATGAAGTTAACATGCATGAAACTTCCCTGAGAAATAGTGTCAAGTTCAATATTTATGGATTTTCAATTTAAATACTCAGCATATAAATACTCAGCATACCATTCCATGAGATTTGATAGATGCATGCCCTCAAGATAGAGAACATTGTCATCACCCCAGAAAGTTTTCTCTTTCCGTTCTCAGACAATTCCTGCCCTCATTCCCCAGAAACTAGCACTATTCTGGGTTTTTTAATTTTCATAGATAAGGTTTGCATGTTCTAGAACATAATATAAACAATCATACAGTATGTAGCCTTGTGCAAGGCTTCTTTAAGATGCTTTGGAGAATCAGCCATGTATTTATCAGTTCGTTGCATTTTAATTGCTCAGTAGAGTACAGTTCATTGATGGAAACCTGGACTTTTCCTAGTTTTTGGCTATTACGAATAAAGTTGCTATCAATATTCTTGTACAAGTCTTTGGACACAATTATTGAGAGTTGAAAACAGGTGTGAAATTGGTGGATCATAGGATAGTTGACTTCGGTTTTAAAAGAAATTGCCAGACATTTTTCCAGAGTAACATCTGATGCTACTTAACTGACAGTGTGTGAGGGTTCTGGTTACTCCACACCCTCAGCAATATTTGCTATTTTTGAATTTAGCCATTCTCATGGGTGCCTTGTACCTCACTGTGGTTTTACTTTGTATTTCCCTGATGAATAAAGATGATGAGCACTTAAACATTGCTAAATGAAGTATTTATACACGATGAAATGGGTAAGTCTCAAATGTACAGTTTGATCGCTTTTGAAAAATACACTCATCTAACCCACAATCCTGTGAAGACAATAGATCTGTCACTCCAGGAAGTTACTTCTTGCCTCTTCCTAGTCAATAGCCCATCTCCCACCTCCAGAGAAGGAACACTGATCTGGTTTCTATCAGTTCATTCCAACTCAGCGACCCTATAGGACAGAGTAGAACTGACCCATAGGGTTTCCAAGGAGCGGCTGGTGGGTTTGAACGCCAACCTTTTGGTTAGCAGCCTGAGTTCTTAACTACTTCGCCACCAGGGCTCCATAGGATATTTCTGCGGATTTTAATACCACGCCCCTGCAAAACAAAAAACTAATTGCTGTTGAGTCGATTTTGACTCATAGCGACCCTATAGAACAGAGTAGAACTGCCCCGTAGGGTTTCTAAGACTAATTGTACAGAAGCAGACTGCCCCACGTCTTTCTCCTGCGGAACGGCTGGTGGGTTCAAACTACTGACCTTTCAGTTAGTAGCCGAGTGCTTAACCACTTCCCCACCAGGGCTCCTTCACATGTTTTAATGCTTGCGATAAACTGAGTTCTCATTAATGTAGTTTTCTGTGTCTGGCTTCTTTCAGTCAGCATGTTTTTGAGATGAATCTGTGTAGAGTTGCATGTATCAGTTCCTTTTTATTGCAGAGTAGAATTTGAATGTGTGAATATACCATAGCTTATCCATTCTGTTGACGGACTTCTGGGGTGTACACAGGTTTTGGCTATAATGAATAATACTGCTATGAACTTTCTTTTACAAGCCTTTTTGTGGACATACACATTTCTTTCGGAGAAAAATCTTGGAGTGGAATTGATGAGGTGATAGGGTGATGGATATATTGTTTAATTTTCAAGAAACTGCCAAATAGTAAGTGGTTGTATCATTTTATGCTCTTAGCAATGTATGAGAGTTCTGGTTGCTCCACACCATCCTTTCCAACATTTGCTGTTGATCTGTTTCACTTTAACCTATCTAATGAGTGGTGTAATAGTATCACACTGTGGTTTTAATACGCTCTTTTCCTGCTGAACACTAAACCCTAAAACGCTGAGGTCACTTTGTAGCTAAATAACAGATTGGCTCCCAAAATGATATCACCTGTAAGTACTGTGCTCCTTTAAAAAATCACCTATATGAGACCAAACGGTCAACAGTTATTTTAAAACAAAGATGAGAATGTAAGGGGGCAGGGAAACTAGATTAATGGAAACAAAACGACTCAACAGAAATAATGAGAATGTTCACGCATTGTGAGAGATGTAACCAATGTCACTGAACAACGTGTAGAAATTGTTGAATGGAAACCTAAACTGCTGTGTAAACCTTCACTGAAAATATTTTTGAACGATTTTTTAAAATTGTGAAAAACTTAAAATTTTAAGTGAAAGTTTACACCTCAAGTTAATTTCTCATACAAAATTTTATACACATATTGTTATGTGACACTAGTTGCAATCCCTATAATGTGAAAGCACACTCCCCCTTTCCACCCCGGGTTTCCCGTGTCCGTCCAATCAGCTCCTGTCCCTTCCTGCCTTCTCATTCTGCCTCTGGACAGGAGCTGCCCACTTGGTCTCAAGTATCTGCTTGAACCAAGAAGCACACTCTTCATGAGTATCGTTTTCGGTTTTATAGTCCAGTCCAATCTTTGTCTAAAGAGTGGGTTTTGCGAATGGTTTTAGTTCTGGGTTAACAGAGCGTCCGGGGGCCATGGCTTCAAGGGTTTCTCCAGTCTCAGACCATTAAGTCTGGTCTTTTTCTGCGAAAACATTATTCAGGGTTTAAGAAAGGGTAGTCTTTTTAATTTTAATAAATGATGCTGGAACAAATGGATATCCATTTGTTAAAACAAAAACCTTCAAACTTTATTTTGGGATAATTTTAAATATTCAGAAAAGTTACAAAGATACTATGTTGTTGTTGGGTGCCATCGAATTATTTTTGACTCATACTGACCCCATGTGACAAAGTATAACTGCCCGCATAGGGTTTCTTGGCTGCAATCTTTATGGAAACATCATCAGGTCTTTCTCCCTTGGAACCGCTAGGTGGGTTTGAACCGCCAATCTTTCGATTAAAAGCAGAGCACTGAACTGTTTTCCCCTCCAGGGCTCCTTAAAGACACTATAGACTTCCCAGATAGCCTTTACCTAGTTCACCTTAATTTTAATATCTTACATAACTATGGTATATTTGTTAAAACAAGAGATCAACATAGGCACATTACTATTAACTAAACTCCAGACTTTATTCAGATTTCACAGTTTTTCCCCTAATGTGCTTTTTTCTGTTCGGGAATTCAATCCAGTATCTCACACTACATTTAGTTGGGCAGCCTTTCATGTGCTTACTAGCCATTTGTATATCTTCTTTCATAAAGTGTCCAAGTCTCTTTTTCTATTAAAAAATTGAATTATTTGTCTTTTTAATATTGTGTGGTAGAAAATTTATATATTCTGGCTACAACTCCTTTGTCATACATGTGTTGTGAATATTTTCTCCGAGTCTGTGTCTTGTCTGTTCATTTTTTATTTTTCTTGATGAACAAAAGAGGTCTGGTTTATCAAAAACTTTAATGGTTATTGCTTTCTGTGAACTGTCAAAGAAACTTGTCTACCCCAAGGTCATGAAGAATTTTTCCTATCTTTTGTAGAAGTTTTGTAGTTTTAACTTTCATATTAGATCTAGAATCCATTTTGAATTACATTTTTTTTTTGATGTGAGGTAAGATAGGAGCTGAAATCTATTTTTTAAATATGGATATCCATTTGTTCCAGCATCATTTATTAAAATTAAAAAGACTACCCTTTCTTAAACCCTGAAGCTATTGCCCTGAGATAATCTTTAAACCTTAAACCTTGAACCAAAAATATCCCCTGAATTCTTTAAACCAAATAGTAGTTTAGCTTAACTAGTAAAGAATGTCTGCCTTGAGCATTGTGCTGTTTTAAAGAACTATCTATATGGGATCAAATTGAAAGATTAGATAGGAAACTTAGGGGACAGTGAGTTTACGTTAACCAGGAAGGAACAATTCAGAAAAGGAGGGTGAGAATGGTTGCACAACTCAATGTTATCAGTGTCTTTGAGTTGTACATGTACAAATTGTTGAATTGGTGTATGTTCTGCTGTGTATATTCTCAACAACAACAAAAATAAAATGAATTATTAAAAAAAGTGGCAAAGAAAAAACCCTACCCTTTCCTCCATGGAATTACCTTGGTTCTTTTGACTACTGTAGCTTTACAGTCCCTTCTCTAAGAATATTAATTTTTTTAAGAATATTAATTTTTTTAAAAAGTTTTCTCCCTTGAAGTTATCGTTGCTGTTGTTTTTTTCTATTCAAACTTCATCTTCTATGTTAGAGGCTGTTACTGATTGGGTTAGGGGCTAGAGGCTTTCCTCAAATGACTAAATTCTTTGTGCTCATGATTAAGAGTAGGAGATTAAAATATTTGCAAATAATTTGTAAATTGTGCATGGATGAAGCTTGTTGACTTGGAGTTTCACTGTGCGGGCCGTTTGTTGGGGATCCCCTGATGTCATTATCTTTAGGTTTTTTCTCTTGGGCTAGTCAGATTCTTCAAGAAAGCTTGTCTGGATTCCTGCCTTGAGGATATAGGTTTACTAGTTCAAGGTATGGGGTTTCATTGTGTGTGTGCTGGGAAATTCTTGGCCTGTGTGCCTGTGCACGCTGTCA